CAACCCCATGGCATCCGGCATCTCTGGCCACCAGGTGGTAGCTGTTACCTCCGGACGCCAAGCACCCAACTCCGTTGGCTCCCCGCAACTTGCTCCACCCCCTCTGCACCACAATCAAGGGCCACCACTCCAGCCTACAACACCCAGTCGCCACTTGCTCGTGGTCGAAGATCGTCACTGCCACCTGGCGGGGCCAGGCAAGCGCCACCACCACCACGCCGCAACCACCCTCGCCCAGAAGCATGGAGGAGGCTATCGACTGCGTCCCAAGCCGCCCCATAGCTCGCGCCACCCGACAGCCGCCCCTGAACGCCCCAACGCAAGCCTCCGGAGGCAGACCCGATCTGCACCGCCACCACCACGCCGATGCTACCTCCAGCGAGTGGGCTCTTTAAGCACCACTGACATGCAAGTAGCAACATGCGCCATAAACCGTCAGTAGAGGCAGTTTGCGGGCCGTCAGTAGAGGCTCACTTTGCTATAGTGCCTATTAAATTTTTAATTACCACATATTCGTAGATGCACTCAAGCATCGCTTACTAGAGATGACAGTAAGAAACATCTACTACATAATGCATTCTTCTGTTATATTCAAATTATTTAAGCGCCAAGGAAAAGTTGCTTTTGCTACGAAGTACTTGTCAATCCTATACTTGAGCGCCAGCTATACATTTAGTTAATCTATATAATTTTGTCTTCCTTCTAGTTCCCTAAGAGCATCTAGAGGTGTATGGAGAGGTGCTTAGCTCTACACTGGTTCGGTTTTTTTCCATAGATAGATATCATGGATGCTTACCTTTTTAGCACAGCGGCTTCATTAGACACCGCTGCTTAAGTGGCGCTGATGTACATAGTCCAAAAAGATAATTGCATTATAGTAGAACAAAATTCTTTGTAGAAGAGGAAAAACCCTGGCATGTGCATTGATTGATGCACACAATCATATATTATTAATTATTAAGCAATGTCAAGCAAAGGCAAGCATTGATACCGACCCAAATTGGCATACAGAAACAAGAAGAAAAATAAATCATGGCCAGCTTCTTGATCAGGCCTCGTGATAGTCGTCTTCTCCAACATAATTGCTTAATGACGTTGGTACACCGTCCTAAAAGCAATTGTTTTGGACATAGACCCAGTCAAACTTTTACTACCAGTCTCTTGTTAATTATTTATATCAGATACACAAACACAATAAGTATAGATTTTCTAGGAGATTAAAATATCAAAATTACACTTAGCTGATTGTATATGAGTAGTTCTTAGGAACACTTGGAGAA